TCCAGTGCTCCCACTTTCAGTGGTGTATTTCTGGAGCGCTTATACTTTAGGACTACAAACTAACTTTTTTAGTCGAAACCCAATGCCAAGATGGAAACTGCCTTTTAAGAAATAGATTCTTTTCTATTTTTGTTTCCTTTTATAACATTCTAGTTCATTACAGTGCATTGGTTAAATTCAAACTTAATATTACTTTAGACTACAGTAAAGCTTAAAATATTCCAGAACTTTAAAGTTTCTGAGACCCCTTTTTTGCTATATTTGCCAAGTTATTCATCATATCCTGCTCACTGTAAGGTTTACTGTAAAAACCATGAATTCTGGCTGACAAGTAGCCAGGCTGTTTTCTTTGGCAGGCAGCTATCCTGTTAATACCTACAGCTGGGATGTTTATTCCACACATTTAGAACCAGTTCTCACTGAGTGTGCCCAGTTTTATCATCTGAGGTGTAACATCAGAAGTGCAGCCACTCAGACCAGTAAGCATGTTTTATGCTTATGGTGATGTCCTCTTTAATGATCTTAGGAGTATTTCCCCAAAGAGTATTAATTTACACTCTTTTTTAAGAGAGGGGAAGAGAGAATAAGAGAATTTCTTTAGCCATCCAGCCTAAATGTAGCTCTTTCTGAGGTAAAATCTCAGATTTTCCAGTCAGTACTAATGGAGGATTTTTTTTTTTATGTGTAGGTCAATATGCAAGGTTTGGAAACAAAATAGGTGTTCCTTAGAAACTAGTGGCAAGAAAAAGACAGAAAGTATTTATTGACCTGATTCTGGTAGAACCCATAGGAAGGGTCTCTGTTGCAACAAATCAAGGGGAGCGGTGAAGGATAGTATAAGATAGTGTGCCGCCTGCAACCTTGTGCCAGCCCTCTACTTCCTTTTGCTCTGGTATGTCCAGCCTTTACTCAGTTTGCTCCACAGTGGCAGAGTTACTTCACTGGCTGTGTACACATATTCAGATGATCAAGGACAACTCTCTAGAGTTTGTTCTCTTGGTAGAAAAACTTATCTAGAAATGCCTGAACAGACGTTTGAATGCTGAGCCCCTGAAGAACAGAGAGCTTGCAGTCCTGACTCTGTGCAGCCAGAGGGTCCCTGTGTACACATCTCACCATGCCTCCAGGCTTCCTCAGTCTACCTGGAGACAGATGATAGAAGTGCACAGGGCAGCCATGATTGGCTAACTCAGACTGCTCAGGTCAGCTTGCATCTTCCTGAGGCACAATGTGGGATTATGATGGGGGGATGTTCTGTTCATTGCTCAACTGGAACAATTATGTCCCGCATAAATAATACATTGTCTCCAGGGGTGGGGGAGGTGATGCTTGAGCAGAGCACCCTGGGATGCTGGAAGAATGTTCTGTGACTTTTCTTAGAAGAGTACATGTATAGGCATTCACTGTCCCAGGAAACACTCCTCCAGGAATGACTTAACTCTAATTGTTCCAAGGTTATTCTCCTTCCAAAACAACCATTTTTGGTCTGCAAAAAAAATCTTGAACATCTAGGTACTCATGGTTTGCCCTGGGAAAGCAGCAACTCTCCCAATAGAAATCAAATGTGTATACATGGCCAGTGTGGTCTGTGTGCAGAAGAGTAGTACAGCAGATGGGTCTAGCCTTTATGACCTTCGGAATCCTTCAGATTCTACCCTACATTATGTTACTTGGAAGAAATCTGATTTCTTAAAATGTAGTTAAAGTGCAACAAAGAGTACAAAATCACATAGCGTGTTGGAACCTACATTTGTCATCCAAGTGCTGATTTTGTGTTTTGTTTTTTAAATAGAAAGTAGTGTCCATTACAATAGCACATAATGGAATATAATATAGAGAGTAAATAAGAAACTTGAAAGTTTGAACAAACATCTGTTTTTTGGTAGTATATTTCTATTTACATTCCATTTAGACACAACTCTCTTTCCTTCTTACTCAATAATAAAAATGTAAGCTATAAAAGTTTCAGGGACAAGGCAAAGAGCCTTGGTAGGCTAAAGAGTGAAATGAGGGTCCGTGACTGGTGCTAAGCACACCATCCTAGTCGGGCATCTCTCAGTAAAACAAGCACAGTAACAAAGAGGGACAACTGTAATGTAATTTCCAAATTACGTTGCCAGTGGAGTTGAACCCTGAAGTGAGGGTTAGAACAGGTAAGAGTGTTATGGATCTTCTTAGCTGAAATTGCTGATGCGAGAAGGCCTCTGTTCAAAATAAGTAAATAAATACAACTCTCTTAAAATTATCTTTGCACAATTTTTTCAGCTGTTTCTTGCCTTTCCTTGTAATATTTTTTTAAATATATATTTTTTAATTTTGTGTGTGTGGAGAAAATATCACTCTTGTTTAAATCAGTTACCAGTTATGTTAGAGTTACACTGCATGAAAAATCTCTATGAGGCATGCAACAGGTTCCAGTTCTGTTTTGATTTATACACATGGTTTCATTTCACTGGATTAATCATGTGGTAACCAGTTCACCACATCATATATTGTTTTTTAATATAATAGATTCATACAAGATTTCAGAAACTTCCTTGCGAAATTACTTGGTTTAGTTTTGTACTATCATTTAGGAACTGAAACTTCTTCAGTGGTTACCTGTGAAGTTCCAGGTGAAAGTATTAACTCTTAGAATGCTTAATCTGAAAAAATGGAACTTTCTTTTGAACTGTCCAGGTCCCTAAAAAGTATAGGCACTGTGTATGTGTTTAAGATACCAGTTAAAGACTGCCAATTAAGTTATAGTTTAATAAAATAAAAGAAGGTACCAAGTCATGGTATATGGTATCTAAGAGTTTAAGAAATTATGTGGCATCTTTTTAGAATTTTCAGTGGATTATTTTCATACTTCTTTTCTCTTGCAATTTAATGAGTCTTTCAATTCAGATTATTTTTTCTTTCCATTTGGTAAACGTTTTTCAACTATATCCCTGTTAGACTATATTCTGCTGCTGCTCCTTCTTCTTCTCCTTCATCATTTTAGTCAGCAGTTTCTGTATAAGTTTGACTCTGTGCAAAAACATATGGTCTTGTTCTGAAGGGAGATCTGGAGATCTACCAGATTTGGGATGGACTCTTTTGACCTTTCAAGGCAGGAGGTCAAAATCAGAGCCATTCCCAAATTTTATGTGGGACCTCTGCAAGGTGCTTCTCAGATTCCTTTCCTTAGAGCAACCTTCTGCATATTTTACCACGAGAAGGATGATCAGGATTCAGAAATGTTTTTTTTTTACTTTTTTATGGAGTACAACATTCTTAAATTCACTTAGAACCCAAGTGCATAAAAGCACACTGAGCCAAAATCATCAAGCTTTGCCTGACTTTGGGTTTAAACCATACAAACCCCACAGTTTCATGTGGTTTTAAGTGGAAAACATAAGTCAGCCCAAGTTGGTTGGAAACTTGGCCCAAGCTTGCTTAGAATGCATCCCAGGTTAAAACCGGGCAACTTTTCAAGTTTAATACAAAAACTGAAACTTGCAACTTTTAAGTTGACTGCAGGTGGTATTAAGAGAGTTCCGCAGAGCTCTAACATACAGAGGTCAACATAAAAAATATGGCTGGAATTACGTACAAAAATAACTCTATATTTAAAAGAACATTAAGGTAGCAAAGTCAAGTACTCAACGGTTAAGAAACATCTGATGTTTGAAACAGGTCCTATGTGCATGTGAATTACTTTAACGATTGCATACTGTTTTTTATTACTTTTCCCATTTCTTCCATGCCAGCCTATTTTGTGCTTCTCTCAACCTAGCATTCCATTACTCTTTCTCTTATTCCTCCTCACTGCATGTACACCATCTGAGGCCATGTTCTGGGCTTATGTGCTAATTTTTGGTAATCAGTGCACACCTGCGTGCAGGCTTTGGTCAGAACTTGATTCTGAGAACTGGTTGTCTCAGTTCATGTTCATGTCTCAGTTCCATGCAAAATTGTTTCAGTATTGAGGTGAGATGATTGATTTAAGTGGAAATGACCATTTGAATAAATACTGTTTATATGAAAGAATGCAAGACGAGTTCATGCTTCTAAAGAAAATTATCCAAATTTCTGTGTTGCCTGAGCATGGCAAAAGGGCTGGAAAGCAACTGGATCAGATCCATGTAGCTAAGAATTCTTGCAGCATGGGAGAGAAGTCCCCACATCACCTTTCCCTATATAACCCAGAGTAGGAGCATGGTCTGTAAGAAACTGCATTTCACCTATATTCAGTTGTTGTGTAGTACCTCTGGCATCCCCAAATGCATTTGGTATCACCAGATAAAACTGATCAGCTGTGCTGGGATGTGTCCACTTCTTTGGGCGAAACATATCACCTGTTGTCTTGCCTGTTGGTGATGCAACTCTGCTAGCATTTCTGCAAATGGGAAAACCCGGCTTTCCTCATGTAGAGGAGGAAAGCTGTGGAAAAGCTGCACAGGCACTCCAGAGGTTTGAGGGGCCTGATCCTGAGTGAGAATTTTTTGGTGTGCAGGGCTGGGCTCCTCAAGCCCCTGAGCTACTCTGTAGGGAGGTTGGTGAGTGTGGGCAGCTCTGGCCTCCCTAAGCTCTCTTGGCACAAAGAAAATAGACATCCATCACTAAATAGCAGCACAAATTAATACCCGCTTTGTTGCAGCCACATATTTTGGGCATTTGCACTGCAACAAGTGGCATGGACATCTCCTTACTTGGCGTCCGTGCCTCAATAAAAATGTTAAGTATAAGAGTAGCTTCTAGACTGCTTTACTCTGCTTTAGGGTTTAGCATGGTAGAGGACTGGAACATACAGGAAAGTCAACATTGTGTATGATCCACCTGTTTTAAACAGACCGGCTGTAAGTGCTCCGCAGCCACAAGTGTTCCATTGCTGACAGTTTTGGACAATTGCAATGCATTATTAAATCTGAACTTTATACTAACTGAGTGTAATGCCTTTCTTTAGAAAAAAAATCTCTTAAACCCTTATATACAAATATTTAGTTGATTGATCAATTGATTTCCTCTTTGAACAGATATTGATGAATGCAGCATCATTCCAGGAATTTGCGAAGGTGGCGAGTGTTCTAACACTGTTGGAAGTTATTTCTGTATCTGTCCACGTGGCTATGTCTCATCTACAGATGGCTCCCGCTGCATTGGTAAGTGTACCATTCTATGGGATTTTGGGACATTTTCAAGACAGGTTGTGTCATTACTGCAGTCTGTAAGCTTGCTACATACCCACCTTAAAAGTTAACTTTTTTTTCCAGGAACCCACAGATGTGCACAGACTTACTGGTTTTTGTGTCACAACTCCAGTGTCCATTCAGTTATTCCGCTCTGCTGTTCCTTTTAGAGTACCATAGCTGAACATAGTTTTTGGGGGTACAGATTCCTCCTTATGGGCTGTATTATAGTATTCCTCTTCCTAGTGCATTAAATATATCATATTTACTCAAATAGAAGATGAGATTTTCTCTCCTCAGTTAGCATGGGGCAAAAGCCACTTATCTTATAATCACATATAAAGAAACCTCATTAAGCAGATTGTCTATCTTTAAACTGCTGCCAAAGGCAGCATGTGCCCAGTAATGGAAACCAACTACAAAGCTGATTAAATATAGCCAGCACTGAGCATGACTGTAAAACATATTGTCCACATGGGGTAAGCATACTAATGTATATGACAAGGATAGGTTAGCATAATCCTTTTAAATAAGATATATGGTAATGCCCATAGCATGCTGTCCTCCACTGCACCAACTCTTTTTCAAGTCATGGTGAACCACTACATAAATACATTTCAACTTCTTCACTCCCACAGCTGAGCTGCACCTTTCTTTCCCATTTCCACTGATTCCTGTGCTTTACCAGCCTTAAATGGCTGGAAAACATCACCAAATGGGGCCTGAAATGATTCGCCCGGAACCTCTCTGTCACCCCTTGAGCCCGGCACATATGATTAGTATAGCCCCACCCTCCATGAGGTGAGGCTGGACCAGGTTGCCCTTTGCCTCATCTGCATATACATTTTTGGAGCATCCCAGGGCTTCTGGCAAAAACACCCAGTTCCAGTTCTGAGTGGGGGCTAATTGGCACAAGGGTCTTTGTGGGGGGGGGGGGGGGGGTGTATCTGGAGTATACACAAACATACAGAGCAGTGAAAAGCTGTGTGGTCACCATGGCTTGAAATGGTGACCACAGAGGATGTCTACCTACAGTTGCCTGAGGGCCATTTCAGTGTTGTCCCATTTCTCCTTCCTAAGCAGGCTTCTCACATTCACTGAAGCTATAAGGATCCCCATGAGCAAAAATGTGCTGGGGGAGTTGGACCTGTAGCTTTCTCATTTCTCTTGTTTAAGTTTAGGGGTTTTCAGGCTCTCTCCCCTCTCCTGACCCATCTGTTCCATCTGTTGATGGGCCCCTTTCTGGGATCATGGCCGCTCCTGCTGTCTGGTCTATGTTTGAGGGGACCTGGTTTTCTTCCAGTAGCTTTTGTTGAACCCAAAGGCAAAGCTCACATTGATTACAAAGAAGCAAGATTGTATTCTTACTTAATATTTCAAGATTTATCTTAGGTAGGCATAATTAACTTCTAAATGCAAGTATTAGAAAGGCAGTCATAAACTTAGAAGATCTCTAGAGGAAATGTAATTAATTAGTATTTAATTTAGCTGGAGTGGGTTTTTCCCACTCCAGCTAGCATAGGATGTGGGCTTCCTGGGACCTTGCATCTTCAAGAGCTTTGCCCTGCAACCCCCCAAAATTCCCAGCTACATGCACCCATTTAAAGAGGTGCCCAATGCAAGAAGCTGAGGATGGAGCAGTTGCTCCATCCCCTGCTGTTCGTGCCAGGTGTTTCTTTAATCTGGTGCATGCAAAAGGGGATGGAGGAGATTCCCCGCCCCTATTCCTAGCGGCACCATGAACCCAATGCTTCTCCCTGCTGTCCAGTTTATGGCACCCAGATCAAGTTAAGTCAGTCCCGAGACTGCTGTGACTGTTGGGGCATCTTAGATGCTGTGCATCATTTGGGATTCTTTGGGCAAAGTGACCTGGTGGTGCCCATCTCCACTCTAGGTTTGGATAGTTGTTGGCTTATTTGACATGTCATGTTTTTAGTCCCGCTGGGTATCCAGACACCCTCCTCACCCAGGCTAGCCCAGGTGGGGGTGCAAGTTTAGTTGCCAGCAACCCAACTATGGAACAGGCTGTACTGGTTTACATGGTACCAGATAACAGACCAAGAAAGGCCTGGCCTGACAGAATACAGTGCCCAAGGAACTTAAAAAAGAAGTTGGTCATTCAGCCAGGGCTTCCAGCTGCACAGCTACTTTTTTAACTTCCCAGGAACCTGTGGAAGCAACACTAGGGAGTTGAGAGCTTCCAGGCCCCCAGCTGCTGTTTCCACCTCTGCAGTAGGTTGCAGCTGCAGAAGGATGCAGGGCTCTACTTGCTGGCAACTGGTAGTCATATGATTGGAGTTATGCCCCATTCCCAGAACTGTGCAACCTGCCAAGCATGTTTGGCATGGCTGGTTCATGCAGCTGTCTCAGTGCCTGCCAGAAGTCTCAGGCAGAGCCCTATGCCCAAACATGGTCCCATTGACTTAAATTAATAAAGTATGCATAGGTCAGAGCATGAATGCCATGTGCCAGTGGAGGCTAGGGGGGGCACAGCGAGCTCCCACAGGCAGTGGTGTTATCAGTGGTGGGAGCGTGGTGGAGGCAAGTGGGGAGCTGCCACAGGCAGGCGCACCCCCGGCCGTGGGGC